CAATGATTGTGGAGACAATGATAGAGAAAACAAGCAAGAAGAAACCAGGTGACAAAGGCTCTTAAATGACACACCCCCACACCCCCTTGATAGTCAACCTGTCTGGCATAGTTATTAAATGACTGGTTTTTTTCCTGACCGAATGATACAGTAGTGAGATTTTTGCTGTTTGGTATGGAAGAGATTGATACCTTGATGGCAGTTCTGTCTGATGTAGGTTCACCTTTTTGGTGCAATGACCTTTAGAACACTCCAGGGCAACAAATAATAGGCACATCCTCTGCAACTGATTTTCATTATTAGGATGAGTTGAAAGTAATTATTATTACAGAGCTGCCTGGCTTTCCACAGTATCTGGGACAAATTTGTGTATTCCTCTACTGCTCTTATAGCTGCCGTACGATTCCTCATCTCTCAGACAACTGCAAATGTTAATTTGTGAAATCTGGTTCATTTAATAAAAGTTTTGCCTTCTACAGAAGATACTCACTGTGGGGTTTTGTTGCTTTTACTGTTGACTGATGGTCCATACTAGTAAACACCAACTGACTGGGTGTGCAGGAGTTTTTCCAGGGGAAGGGCTGGATACCTGTTAAATAACCTATTCCAGATATCTCTCATTTATAGTCTTTAAATAGGGGTGGGCTTGGCAGACCTTTCTTTTTGGATCTAAAGACAAACTCTCTGTATTGGAAATACGCTCTTACTGCATATCTTCTCAGAATAAAATTTGGAATTCTACCAAAGTGGGGAATAACCGTTATAAAGATACTAAAGGCATTATTTGTCCTTCAGCAACACAACTAAGGTATTTATGAACGCCAACAAGTTTCTGAGCAGACCACAGCCAACTCAAAAGACTGTGTTTTGGTATTTTTCTTGTTAAGTATTTCCTCAGACTGTAGTGTTTTGCAGAGTTTAATACTGCCATGGGATCCTGTCATCACTCAGTCACCTGTAGTCCCATGGAGCTCCATGGGTGTTGTTGGAACAAGCAGTGCCTTCCCATTTCCCTGTGCCTGGGGAAACAAAAAGCAACAGACTGTTGCAGTTTCCAGAAATCTTCAACTCGGGGGGAAAAAAAAAAAAAGAAAAAAAAAAGGAAAAGAGCAATAAATCCTTCACCTGTGTATATGCAAATACCAAGCACTATCTAAAATGCTGATGCATCATTTAGGACTCAGTTTAACTTCAGGCATACAAATAATCCCACTAAAGCTGGATACATACTGAAATGCTTGGTTAAGTGCTACATGTTCCTTCTCCCATCCCAACCCAGTTCTCAAAGATTTTGTTTCAGCTTTTGATTGTTAATGCCTTTTCCTTCTCTCTGATTACTGCCATCAGCTGCCAAGAAAGGGGCTAAACACCATTTGGGCTGATGAACCTGAGCTTCAGGACTACCTTCTCACATCACCTGAGACTTTCCTTTGATATTGTGTTGTTTTTCTTTTAGTTAGTGAATTCCAATGAAGGTGTAGCTTCTAACCTACTGTGACTATTATGTCTGGTAAAGAGGCACCGTCTTCTCTGAAACAAGGACAGGTGACCCACATAGTCACATTTTTATTCTGGATTTTTTTGTTGATGCTGTTTTATTGAAGTACTTGTGTGAATTTATGCCAGAGGTGGCTTGTTGAGGCATGTGCTACTTTTCAGTTTAATTTATTAACAGTGTAAATAACCACAGAGAAGGAATTTATCAATGCATATGGATGCTGCACTCTGGTGAGCTGGGAGAAACTGCTCAGGTTAACTGCTGCTGAAAGCAGATTTTGGCCTACTGCAAGAGACAAAAAAAAAAAAAAAAAAAAAAAAAAAAAAAAGAAAGCAAGCACAACTGCAGCAATAGGAAGGCTGTTTAATAATTCTGTCACAAAACAGGGTGTAAACAGATTCAGTCAGTACCTAGACAGACCTGGGTATTCCACCCCCACCCCCTGCCAATCATCTGATTTCACTGCAATACAGGGAACGGTCAGACTACAAAAGACCTTACTCAACATCAAGGAGACACCACTTCAGGAGAGCCTGGGTTAGGTGTCTAATGTGCGACTATCCCCCACCTCTTTATCTATTTTGTGCTGTGGTGTCACCACTCTCTGCTGCTGACACAGAAATGGTTTTCTGATGCTTGTAAATCTTATTCAGAAGCTGTGCAGTATAAAAGTCGCTCCTAAAGTGGGCTTGGTGGCCATGTATTACTGAAAAAGTCACCTAGTGCATTGCATGGGTAGCAACCTGCAGTGTAAGACTTGAACCAAGCTGGTGCTGAGCTGCACCACAGACACCACCACCAGCAGAAGTCAAGCACCATGAAGAACTAAGGCCTACATTTTGCTGTGATCTCTTAATTTGCCTTTCCACAAACATGGCTGGTTGCCCAGTAAGGCTGCAGATGATGGGCATCTGTAAATTTGTATGAAAATTACATAGAAAAACATTAGTATCCTATTAGTCATAATGACTGTGCTGAAACGTATAGCAAACATCACAGTTTATGGGCTAACTGCATGGGCTGCTTTAAATGCAGAGTCTCAAATGCAGCATCTCATTGAAGTGTTTAAATGCTCGTGCTAAAGTGTAGCAGTGAAATACTTGGAAACATCTATTCAGCAGAGCCTGGGATGGGACCTACGTTACTACAGGCACATTCTCGCCTCTGTGGCAAGCAGAACTAGATCAGGGGGTTCCCTGCCATCTTTAACTGCTGCAGACATGGTAAGAAGTTTTAAAATTAAACGTACCGTGTGCCATGGGGACATGTGAACTAAAAGTACCCAAAAATGTGAGTGGGGAGTAGGAAGGAAGAAGGAAACAGAGGGGTTTTTTTGTGGAGCAAAGTGCTTCAAACAGCAGAGAAAAAAAATACTGTTGCATTTCCCTGGGGCCAGAACTGCTTAGGAAATGCAGCGCCAGATGCCACCAACTCTCTTCCTGAGTGCCCCCTTCCCCACTGAGGGCAGCAGTTTGGCACCAACATCACCGTGTGCCTCTGCAGAGCTGCCCTTGGAGCCAGCAGGTCTGAACCACGTAAGTAACGCCCAAGGCTCCTCCTAGCCTGTGGCCTTAATCTTTGGTGTCCCACCATATCACAGTTAACATAAAGCCTGTTACTCTTCATCTGTTGCTATCATCTCTTTTGGAGGATTGGGTTCATTTTCTCAGTATCCAGCATACACAGGATACAGCTTGCTTTACTGGTGTAAAAAGCAGGGGAATAGAAGTCATCCCATGTAGACCAGCGTAGTACCTCCCGTGTACTTTCCAATAGGCAATGATGATAGGACCTGCCGGTTTACAACAGCTCTTTATTTTACTCATATTATAAAACATTATCACAGGGCTTCAGTTAAACAGTGTTCACCTGTTTCAAATCATGAGCTTCATTTTTCCCTTTATTATAAATACTAACAAATTAACTTTATTTTCCATCAGCATTACCATAAAAACTTAGTCTAACTGGACATATTTTTCAGCGATCCCCCCGATGCAAAAACCCTGAAGAATTTGAAGTAGATCTCTATATTGTATATACACTTAGTTTTATATATACTTATATCAAAACTCATCATTTCTGCATATCACGCATTATCGTGATCTTTCACTTAATAAATTATGTCAGCATTATGAAAATATCAACAACCATCTAGTTCTTTTGCTGCTTTATAAGATATTTAATGATTGAACAGAGAACTGCAGAATTACATAATGCAATGGAAAATCATGTACACGTTCATTTAAGATTTCCACATGGACTTTTCTTATTCCAAAACTATTTCCACATTTCAGAAGTGTTTCAAAAGCTTCCAGTTACTTCCTTGTTTGAACCCATAAACACAAAAAGTTATGATGTGCGTAAATGTATTATACATTACATACCATATGTAATTCTAAATATATTTATAAGCCAATATATGTAACATATTCTGAATATACATATTGTATGTAATATATATATACAGAGAGATATCACAAGTGTGTCATGTGCATTTAGACATACAGGTGTATGCATAAATATATATATAGATGGAAATTCTTCCCTCTGATACATACACGCTGCTCTTTCTAAGAACTGGGTGCCTTCCACAGAAACCTACTTCTGTCAGCACAATCCATTCACTTCCAAAGACACAAGCAAACCTGTCCCTGACCCATTTAACTTCAGCGAGTTTTGGCTCATGCCTCATGAACTCCAGTCCATGCTTTGAAATGGACCCGTCTCGTCCTTGGGTTAAGTTTTACATCATCAAATTAAACACAGTTGGCACTCTAATGTATTGAAAAAATAACAAAAAACACTTCAAAAATAAAAAAATCACACGGGCCCTGATTCTTCTCCTGCCGATGCCTGTTTTAGCCCAGTGTGACTCAACTGTCCAAAAGGACTGCTGCACGCAACGAGGAACCTGTGAGTAGTGCAAGGCTGCTCGTCTTGGCTTTAAAGTGTAATTCACATAGATTTTGAGCAGGTTGAGCTGTTTATTTTGCATTTGGATTTGTAAAGGAAAGAACAGGCCTCTTACGGAAAGGTAAAAGATGGATATTTACTAGAAGTAACAGCATAGATTATACATTCTTAAGTGAAACGTGTCCACCAGATAACCTTTGAGTTACATTTTTAATTTGTTAGATAAACATTTATTTACTGAATGTGTTTCTACTACTATGCACGAGGACCACTCATTATTAAAATGTTTTAGATTAATACTCTGCATATTAAAAATACATAGTAAAATTCTGAAACTAGTCACTGTTAAAAAGTAGATCTTGGATCCTGCAAAGATCCAAAGCACCTGCTTAAAGTTAGCGTTTGAGTAGGCCCACTGATGGCCTTTACTGTGAGTGCCTAAATATTTGCAGAATCAAGACCCTTTATTATTCAAAGGTTAAATTTGGGATCTCACACCTGAGGACATGTAGTGGTTGCTACCATGAGTAATTCCCACCAAGGAGGATGTTACATCTTGTGGCAATAGCCAGAGCAGGCTCCAAGGGTGAGAGAGACTGACTTTACTCATGTGTGAAAGGTGAAGGTGGGACTGACTCTTTAAACAGCAAAGAGCAATGATTATCAAAAATCTTCCCAAACACACTACATTTTATTTCCCAAGAAGGCCAACTTTACATTACACATTAATAACTTAGGCATATTAAATATATTTGTATAACATAAAAATAACAAATCTCTTTTTAAAAATCAAATTTGAATAAAAAATTGCTTTGGGACTGAAACTGCATACTTCAAATTTCTCCCACAGCAATTTACTGACAGCCAGGTTGTAAACCCCAGAAAACAGGGGTCTGTGGTTGGACATGCTGACACAGCCTCATCTTACGCTGCTGTAGTACATCTCAGTGTAGAGACGAGCAGATGCACTTTTGCACACAGGTTGCCAGAAATCCTACAGCTCATTCCCTATGTGCTTGTTCTGCTGTAAGATAGTAACTTAATTTAAATCGCCAAAATTTTAAAAAAACTCAACAAAACACCTGAAACTTGTGCTTCTAGAATGCCCTGACCCTGTTTGCAGAGCACTTCCCCATGTCACCCAGCTTTGGCATCGCTTTGCCTTCCTTATTGCATGCCTGTTGACCCAATCTGTGTCTGAAGTGTTAGTGTGTATGTTGTGTTAAGTGTATACATTAAAGAAAACTCTTAGAATTGAATTTCTACAAATTTGATTGGTAAGTTTTCCTCATCTCTGGATTATTTCTTTTTGTAGGGTCTAGTGCTACTTTGGTTGAACCCAATGGGGAAGAGTCCCACTGAAGTCAACGATGCAGAAGGAGCTGTTTGACTTTCAAAGACCTCTCCAGCCAACCTCATTGTGATTCCCTCTCTCACAATAATTTTTTAAAAAGTGCCCATTATCACCAACTGTCAATGTTAAAATTCACTCTTTTTTTTTTAAATACAAACAACATTTACCACAAAAATATGAAAGGAAAAGCCATCAACTTTGTTGCAGGTGAATACCTATTCGTATGACACAAAAGAAAAATCATTTACAGTCACAAACTGTACACAGTATTCAGTGGGGGACAGTGTATTTGTGGCTTAGAGTACAAAAAGGATTGCTTCGGTGGTAATTAAAATAATTAATGATGAGATGTAAGACTTTAAAATCAAGGAAGTGTGATAATTTGGCTACAGAGACAATCATTGTAATATGTCTAACACAGAGGTTTGGATAGTAGAAAGGTGAGTAGAGGGATCTGGGGAAGGAAAGACACCATCATGCAGAACAGTGCTAGTTCTTGCTCAGTATACTCTTCAGGCTTCTCTCCACTGCTTCATCTAATTCTTCTTCCAGCTCTTCCTTCTTGGACATGGCCAGTTTGGACTGATAATCTTTTACTATTTGGTCTATATAGGGTGCGCTCTGAGTCCCGTGCAGCATCAGTGTCCACTCCTTCAGCACGCCCCGCTGGGGCAGGCTGCCGACAAACCCAATCTCCAGAGCCCAGGTGCCTCGTGGGTCTTCTCCCCAAGTGTGTGTGGTCATGAAAGGCCATTTGTCAAAACCCACCTTGGAGTCGTCATCCCTGGGGCGCCGGCTCAGTAAAATGGACTTTGTTCCCATTGGCGAGGTCATGTTGATGTTGAGGTCTCCTCGCCTAGTGGAATTCACAGTTATAACTGCTTGGACGTGTTCAAGGTATCGGACAAAGTTTTCCTTCCCCTCACAAGCATCGGTTGTAAGTGTGAGGACCAGCTTGCCACTTGGTGGTATCTTTCTGCAGGTCAAAAGATAATTAAGCAAATTAAAAGGAGCACATGACATGGCTCATGCTAAAACTACTGGGGTTTGGTGCCTCACAGGAAAACCTGTACTGCTTTCCTTATTAATACGTGGAAAAGTAAGGAAATAATAGTTGCAAACTTAGCCAGAAAATTATCTTTTTAGAAAACGGTAGTAAAACCATAATTTGAATATACATTATGAAATGTACACCTACACAAAGAGAGAAGGAATACAATTAAGAAGTACATACTGCTCTTTAAGAAATATTAACATATATTTAATAGTTGCCTTATCGTTACTGTATCGGGTAATTGCATAATAATGTGTATATTCAGTAAAGGAACCATTAGCAGTCAGTCATGTCAGACAGTCACCTTAAAAGACGGCAGCGAATGGCTTGCTGGAATCAGAGGAGCCAGCTGCACAGAATTTCAGTTCAGTCACATCAAAGCCTACATCCTTCTGATTTGGACACCAGCACAAACATGGGATCCCAGTGTCAGCTCATTTAAAAAATATTTTTCCATGAAAACTGCTGCACACACACCGAGGAAAGAAGTTGCACTTGTTTACTGAGTTGCTAAAGTGCTGCACCTTGGAGTCACAAGTTTCTCGGTTATTATAATTCAGTCCTTATGAAGGCAAATGCACAATTAACTGGAGGACATCAGTCCCAAGTATCACCAGAAAGCTAGACCCACAGGTGGAACACAGATTCCTATTACCAGCGCACGGAGCTCCTTTGCTGGAGGGTCGGATGCAACGCCTGAAGTCAGCACACAAGAGGAAAAAACTTTCAAACACTGTGCAATCCCCTACAGCTGTTAATGATCTTGCCAACATTTGTCAAGCAGGATGAATTACGCACAACAGGAAGCAACATTATGCTGGTCGGTGCTCCTGGCTCCCCACCTGCTGGGGTGCACACCCGCGGTGTGGTTGCTCCCGGTGTGGTTGAGGAAACCTGTGAGGCACCAGCGTTTCCCAAGAGTGTCTCCGAGACCACCAGGAAGAGGCAAGAGCGTGCTGGGGGAGAGCAAGGTGCATCCATGCCTTCCCAGCTCCAGCAGAGGAGGCCAGTAGCCACCGTGCAGTGGCAGCCCTGCGCAGTGTGTGGGCACAGGACCAGAGGCACTGGCACCTGGCCCAGGAGCAGCACCCTGCCAGCAGCTGAGGCTGACGAGTGCCTGACAAACCCCTCAGGGCCAGGATGTGAGTTGCCTCAGAATTACCAATTACCAGTTGCCTCAGAAACTGGCTGGCAAACTACACTGCATGTGTAAACAAAATTCTCTGCGTCTTCACCATCAGTGGGCTGTGAGCAGCATGACACTTTCCTCTGTCTAAAAGAAATACTTGAAATTCAAGAATTACTGCAATCCTTAAAAAGGGGAATAAGTAACAAAAGATTCCAGTCAGCTTGTCATTACATCTTCCAGTGGCTTCTCCATAACCTAGGTTTTGCAGTAAAATAAGAGTCCCTTTTAAAGGGCATCGACGACACTGCGGTAATGAATACTTTCTTTTCAAAATAAATGAGGAGCAGCCTTTTCCCTTTGCTAATGAAGCAGTGCGTTCTTCAGAGACCGGTGGAAGTGTTTTATTCAAGCCTAGCTTCCAGGAATTCTCTTCTTGAGATGAGCTTCAGGTATTACAGCTTAGAATATCACTAATTGGCCCAGATCAGTCTTCGCCCCCCTTTCATAGACTACTGCCTTCTTGGGAGTACTTGCAGAGGTCCAGGTCCTCAAGGCGTTTAAAGACTTACCTTAAACTGAAAAACTTGTGTTGTTATGAATCTTATGGATTATGATTCTGATTCATTATGATTATGAATCTTATCTCTGGAGCAGAAGCTGGTATAACATAAATAATTGTCTAGCAAAAAATATTTGAACATATAATACCCTCAAGATTTATTTTGTGTGCCAAAGCATAAGGAACATGCACTATATGCCAGCCAGTGGTGAAGGTTCATAATCTCACAGTTGCCACATTGCTTGCAGTTTCTCTGCATGGGAAGCACTGTCCTCAAAGCAATCTGAATTCATGTTGTCTCACAGCAGTCTCACACAGTGGACAAAGCTCTGTCAAACAGTGCTTCATTCTGAGACTTGCGGTAAGTGCTTTATATCTCCTCCAGTAAATGAGAGAGGACACCACAGTGTGAGGCTTTTCTATCAACACCAAGACCCAAAGAAATAAGAGCGATGAGAAATACCACTCCATCTGCTTTGCAGACAGCCTGACAGGCAGGTCTTCTCTCCACCTTCCTAAATGCTGCAGGTGCAAAAGGTATCTCAGCTCTCTAACACACATAAGAAAAGGCTTGCTCTGCAACCCCCTTTCCTGTTAATTAGAATCCAATACTCTCTGCTTTGCTAGACCAATTGCTTTAGTCCAGGTGAATTTCCCCAAAGAAGCAAAAAGAACCTGGGGTGGTGGAAAAAGGCTGACTTGGAAGGAGCAGAAGAGGAGATGGGTTTTCCACACCCTCACAGTGTATCACTGCCTATTTGCCATATAGGTATATAAAATATATTCACTTTTGCATGAAGTGTAGTACCCGGTTAGAGATGAGCAGGGGGAGCTAACAGCTCTGTAGAAGCACACTCCCGTGCTCCTGTTCCTCTGCTAATGGACTATGATGTCCTAAATCATCTAAAGCAGCCAGATTCAGGTGTGTCAATTTTTTTTTCTTTTTGCTGACCCATCAAAAATCCAATTTCAGAGGAAGTTCCTATTGATAACAAGTATTTCTACATGCAGCAGAGAAATGCTGCACTTTAAATACTGATTGCTTTCAGCACACTGTATAATCTGTCAGGCTGTCAATTCTTTCCTGGCTTGTTTCTGCTAATTCTGCTCCTATGGTACACACTTCTGTATCAACTACTCACCTACCTAAATATGTATTGAATATCATATATATATCTATACTTATATAAATATATATATGTATATAGAATATACATAGAAAACGTTGCTCAAGCAAGCGCCAAACTGGAAAACAAACCAAATTATTACACTGCAGAAGCGCAGTGTAGTTTTCATTTCCAAGGGATCTCTGGACATGCTGGGACTTCACTGGTTTTAATTACAGTGTAATTCAAAAAATGAAGATGTTGCAAGTCATGATGCTTGTTAACTCCTGTCAGTGACATTTTCATTAAGGGACATAAATATTACACCAGACCTGGGGTAATTATTGTGGGCACCCATACATACCGCACACCGAGATTACATTGCAGTAGAGTTAGGAGGCTTAGGTGGTGACTGACTCGCTTGAATTTTAGGAATCTGCATGCTGTAAGCACAAAGCCTGTTCTGGGTGCTGCTCTCAAAAGACACCACCCATATAACACAGTGTATTTCTCAACTCTGGAGCTTGTTGGGCAACAAGAGCTATAGGGAAGCTTTACTACACTTCCAGATCCCTGGGCTGGAGCAAATGCACCATCCTCCATGCCTTTCTATCCACTTAACAGCAGAAATGAGACAGAAAAACAAAAGCAGAGGGAGACAATACTACTACATAGCACTCGCCCGACTCTGACTCAGTCTGTTGCCAGAATACCTCTGGCTCCACACTGTCTAATGCATGGATCCAATCATAAAATCACAAAATGGTTTGAGTTGGAAGGGACCTCCAAGACCATCCAGTCCCAAACCCCCTGCCACAGGCAGGAACACCTTATACTAGATCAGGCTGCTCAAAGCCCGTCCAACCTGGCCTTGAACACTGCCAGGAAGGGGGCAGTCACAACATCTCTGTCAAGCCTACAGAGAGAGATTTTCTCTCTTCCTTTGGGAATGATGCCCATTTCAATAAATGGGACTGCACTAAAATAAATGAGATTATTTGTCTGCATTTAAATTATGAATAAACTCAAAATAGCTCAAAGTTAGCTCCAGCACACTCTCATTTGCTTCCTAGTTGTGAGCATGCGTAGGCCAGATAAATTAAAACTCAGATCTCAGCTGTTAGATCCTTGGATCCTGCAAATACAAATCCATCTGGAAGGCTGTGAACAAACTTTGATTCTTTGCTTGGCTGAGCTATATGCCAGGGTGGCATACTGGTTTGCTTTTATTTTTCCAACAGAATAAATGATGCCTTCAGAAATGGCACTGAAAAGTTAGATTTCAAATGGTATAGATATAAATTGGCTATTATTAGGTAAGCATTTCAAATAATTAAACTGAACTACAGCTGTTGCAGTCAATTAGTATTAATTCATTCACTTGTTGACTCATTCAGTTTAGCACATGAAGGTAAATCAGAAAATAATTTGACTACCTAGCTTGCAATTAGAGATTTGAAGAACATAAAACAAACATAAATGCTGTAGTGTTCAAACTGAATCACCGGTACCTGTAGATTATTGTTCCAGTCTTCCGGAGATAAAACTGTCTGCTAGAATATGTCACAATGAGATATGACCTGGCTGACAGATATTTCATGTGGCAGCAGTTTGTGTAATTTCCAGTGCCCGCTTCCCAGATTTTTACTTGTGCACAGGCTCTTTATTCACAGAAACTTTGGCACAAACATACCTGTAAGGACCCAGGAGGAATGGATGTTGCTGTTAATACTACTGGCACTAGCAATGATGATGGAGATGAGCTGCAGAATGCACTCCTCCAGCAAACCAGGAATTGAAAGATCATGTGGTTTATTTTATCAACTTATTGAAATATCTGGAATGCTATTGGTAATGTTGGGCTTTCTTAGAAATGAATGTTTCTTTGATTATCTATGTCTTTGTCAACATATTTGTATGCTTGTGGTTTCCTTAACACCTGGAAGAAGCCAAACACATATGCTAGAGCCATTCACTTACTCAGGTTCCTGTATTGACCCTCCAACACAATGGAATCTTTCGGGAACAGTCTTCCAGTCTTTCGCCATCTTAACCATTGCTCCTGCATCTAGGACACCATAACCAAACAAATGGTTGAATTCCAGCCCAACGCCATTTCTACGCCACTGATGAACCTCATCGTGAAGCTGGTTCCTCTTCGAGGTGAGCACTGTCAGATGCTGCATGTCTCTCCATGTCAGATCCAAGCTGTGCAAGAGCAACACAGAACACAAACCGTACAGTATTTCCAAGCAGATATTAAAGAAAGTGTGTTTGAGCAAGCCTTTGGGTAAAATTTGCTTCTATGAGTCACACAGAAATTGTATCTATACACATATCAATAACAAAGCTTTTGTTGATTTCAGTGGGAACAAAAATAGGTTTTAATTGTATAGTACTGCCCCAAAATCATTTCAGATTGTTTCCCTGTTCTTAAAAACTGCTTTCAACTACACATTATAGATCCACCATGCAATTTTTAAGCTAATAAAATGAGTAGGATATTATAGCAGATCCTGAAAAGAATACAGAAAGGGAAGGATGATGACAGAATTTCACCTAGCTTTCCTCTTAAATCTTGCCTTCATTTCCTTGCCTGCTCCTCCTGCTTTTCCCTTGGCCTTCCCAAGGTTTGCCCAGAGAAGCCCTGATCTGATGAAGCTGATGAGCTGTAACAATTGAAGTCTTAGTAATTTCGGTAGTCTGGGCATATGGATGTATGGGCTGTGGGTGGCTGTAGGTTTGTATTATAAGGTATGGTAGAGGTTTATCACCTGTGATATACTAGCATGGAAGAATGCAGTAAAGTAATATTTAGCTAGATTTGATGATCATTTTTCATCATCAGCTCTTGTCTTCCTAGATTTGCAGTGATTATGATGACAGGAAGGGCACTTGTAAGTTATTATTCTGGAAGCTTTAGCACTGACATTCTAATTCTACATAACGAAAGCTATTCCAGTCGTTTTATGATGAACTCTTTCAACATTACAGTATGTCTGATTCAAACCATCAACCTAAAAGGATCCGCTTTTCAGCTTTCTGTGCCCCAATAATAAGCATGTGTCCATGCTGAATGTACAGCAGAATAGCCAATTACTGTCTTTTTTCCCAAGGTGACACAGGATAGCTGAAAACCAGATATCACTCGTATCATTCTTACTGAAACCTTTTAAGAGCTGCTACATATCTTAAAACTGTACTTTCCATTTCACAGATTGGTCTGGTTTTAGAGACGTGTCAGACGTCCGTTGTACATGAGCTGAGAGACATAGTGCAGGTAGTAGTAGTCTGCATGGGAAATGGTTAGCTATTCCTCTGAAGGCTAGCGTAACTGATCCAGGGTAGTTCTGCACACCAAAACAGAGGTTTAATAGAGCCAGTCTGGAAGGAGACAGGAGGCACTGACAGTTCTTTCTGTCTCCTCTCCACCCACATCCTTCTTCTCAGCAAAGGCTAGAAACCCAATTGCAAACCAGGGACACTAGTCTCATTTCATTTCTACTCGTGATAGTTTGGCAAGAGTAATTCCAGTCTCCAAGGATAGCCCAAATGAAGAGGAATGGTAATTATTACTGACATATTAAGATTCCAGTCCAGGTTAAACATGCAGTGGTCAGAAAATTCATTGTCTTTACATTTTTTTGGCCATAAGTATTTATTACATCATGGCTGTCCCACTGAATGAATTTGACAGTAGAAGGACCGATCATCCAAAGTTAAAACACTTGTCATGTATGTTTTACACGTATAAAACCTGAAAAATGAAATGTGCCCCAAGTCATGCTCTGAGCACACAACCATTGCTCTGCTAATGATAGAAACTTTATCTCCTCTTTATTCTTCTGCATACTGTTGAAGAAAACTATGTACATAGCACTCACTTCATGCCGAGGTTACAGAAAGTGAAGCTGTATACTTGAGAAAATGTTGTCTCACTTCATAAAATCATTTAACACAAAGTGAAAAGATGGTATAGGTTATTGTAAGGCAAACTTTTCCTAATCATAAGAGAAGAAGAAAATGAAGCAAGATATGCAAGAGGTCTCCAATGTCACGAATAGCATGGAGATGGTAAACAGACAGTGGATAGTTATTCTTTCACATAACAGAGCAATTATGGAGCACAGAAGCAAGTTACCAGCAATAGGTTAAGAAAAAACAAATGAAACATTCCCTACCACCATCACCAAAAACTTATTACTGTGGACCTGACTGCCACTGGATGGCACAGGTGCCAAATACAGACAAGTTGAAAAAGAGCTAGACAGATTCAAGGAAGACAAATCTGCCTGTGGCTATCAAACAGGATAGGCTGACTGCCCTCTCTCCAAACCACGGATTGCCAAAGCTGTTGTTGAAAGATCGCTCTTAATCCACGTTTGTTTTACTCTCCCCTAAGTGTCTGTCATTGCAGACAACACGTGGCACAAGATGAACTCCTGTCTGATACTACAGGTTTGTTCTTATGTTTTTGAAGGCTTGGCATTCCATGCCGGCTATGTGAAGAAGTGAAATAATCTCTCCCTCCAAACCGTGCTGGAGAAGACATAAACTCCTGGAAGCAGTGGATGGAGAGGACACAGAGAGAGCAAGTCAGCCAGAATGTATCTGCTGTATGGCTTCAGCAAGACTGCCGCTCCATCTCCAAGCTGCCATCCATGTCACTACTGTAGCAGGCAGCTTGTTTGCTGCTCCTTCTAGCCCCTTGCCACAGACAGCCAACTTATATGATGAACAACATTAAACAAACCACAGGCCCTCTCCTCTCTAGAGCTCACAAGGAATTTCTCAACAGCATACTTAGCCTCCAGGGCCAAGGCAAACACTCCGGCTGCTTCAGGGGCAGCTGCAGATGTTCCTGAGTGACGCAGGGTGCAGTTGCCATACAAATCCGTTGTAGCCTGCAATAATATTAAGACACAATTAATAAACCAGCTAGTCCATTTGCCTTGCAGCTACAAACTTAGAAAAAAATAGAAAGTGCAGTTTGTGCCCTTGCTCTTTAGAGTAATTGTGTGTTTGTTTCTAGGATCTCTTTTCCCCTTTAGAATACTCTATCGATTTAGAGACACAGTGAGACAGTTACAGAAGGTGTCAATGCAAGAATAAATCAAGATGTAGTAAACCAGTGTTCATTACCGCTTAGAACTTATATAGATGGCAATTATTTCCTGTAAAAAACAGTTTATCCAAAGGCCTTAAATTCCCCTGTGGTTATCAGAAGGATTTGAAACTAGAATTGTTAACAGTATTGAGCTTTCTCACATTTGTGCAACTCCAGAACCAACAGCAGTACCAGGCTGCTATCTTCTATGCAGATTAGTCACTAGAACAGACCAGAAGCACACCTTAGAAAAATATTTTATGGTGATAATTACAAAGGTGCCACAGATCATCCTGTCTGATACCAAGATGGAAACCAGTATTTTCCCATCTGCTACTGCACGTGGGCATTTAGGATTTATACAGTATGTCCTTGGGGGTTTGAAACAGGGCCATGTGTCACAGCCTTCAGCAAAAAATCAACCTTGAGTAACCACACCTGAAGTTTCCACTCTGTGAATTAGACTATGTCCTGGATAGTCGGAATGTGCTGAAGAGCAGTGATCAGTACAGTGGAAGAGAATCCCAATTACATTTGAACAGAAACTGCCTATTTCCCAGTTGTAGGTATGGCCCTGGCCTTGAGTATGATGCTCTGCACTGCTCAATAGGAGGGTGAGGGAGATCTGAACCCCCGTATTTCCTCTGTGGGTGACAATGTCTTTCTGCTCTGTGCAGCCTGTAGCACAGCAGAAGTCGTGACTGCTCTGCCAGTACAAGTATGATCTCAGATGCTGACACTTTTCATTTAAATATTTAAACACCTTTTGTCACACTGTCCCTTGGAAAGAGCGCAACTGAACTTCTAAATCCAGTTTCTGATAAAGGAAAGCACCAAGTGTATGAAGCTCGATGAGATGGAAGATCATCGCTGTTCTCAATATTAATCCCACATCTCAGTTGAGAGTTTTGGCACCATCATGTACTGCAGATGAGAAAATACCCATCTCAGCAAAGAACCATCTGCTGCTCCAATGCAGACAGAGTTGTAACAGGTCACGGGAGTGCACAAAGACAGCAGCAACAGCACAATAATATCTGGACTCACCACGCCAGCCTCCGGATTTCTCTTCCTCCCATTACTAAAGGTAGACGCTAAGGTTGAAGAGCAGCTTTCATCATACAGAGCTGTCCGTCCATCATTTATAGCAGAATTGATGGAAATTGTCCACATGCTTGATGCGTAACCATCACAGTTACAGTCATCGTAGCTGCCCCCATCTCCAGAGGCCCAGACATAGATGCTTCCTTTGCCACCCCGGCCCTGTGAAAGGGGAAGATCGACCCTCTTGCGTTAAATTGCAAACAGGCGACAGCAACTACTTTAAACTGCACATCTCATGATAAAGCTATGCATCTATAAAGAAGAAAACTGGTCCAAACAAAACACACATCAACCTTAAGCTGAAATAACGTGGACTTCTTGCAGGTTATTATACGCAGTTAACTGGCAGCCATAACCACTTCTGCAACCTTATGTACACAGAGCACTTGCATTTATTTCCTGGTTTGTTTGATGCCCTGAAGGCTGCTGTGCCAGATGCTAAGACACTTCATGGATTCATTAGCATTTATGTCAAGGTCTAAGTGCTATGAGGAAAGCGTTCTTTTAAAAGGGATATAGGTCATCTCACATGCTGGGTTTGTAAGATCTAATTAGGTTCAGCAATGGCTAAAAAATTCTGTAAAACTGGCACCTTTTTCTCTCAATAGATTTTTCTCCAAAGGTATCACTGATTCAGAGCTGTTCTTCTGCCAAACCAGCTTCTACTACTACACAGAAAGTGAAGTTATGAGACCATGTAAATCATCTGCAGAAAGATGGTCTACCAATTACACTGAGAAGGTGAGAGATGGATGGGAGAGACTGAAGCTGAAGGGCAGTATAAATGCTTCCCATTAGTTAAAGAAATCCATATAGAGTCCCCAACTTCCAGACAGGCAAGGAGCGGGAAGGGATCAACTCAGCACCTTCTCATCCCATACTAAGAAAAAGGCAGGGGCTGCCTGGAAAAGGGTTAGACCTGAGAACCCTGATTCTCAGGGAAAGATTGGTGGTACTGGACAAAAAGCTCAGATCTCCCTCTGACTCCAGCACAGCTACCATTTCTCTCCATGTTTAGTCCCATGTAATCCAACATTTACTTCCAACAGCACCAGAAGGGTGCAAGTCCTCAATTTAACATACTGTTTCTATGCACTGGGCAGAAGATAAAAAAAATCTTCTGGTCTCTTCACTGTCCAGTCTGAAATGGAAGTTAAAAGAATATACAAACATAGCAACCTGCAATGGTATTTTAATAGGGAACCTTTTCTGCCAGGAATTTAAATTAAATCTGAGCTCCCAGCAGTAGCTTCTATTTTTCACCATGCCCCACTGAACAGAGCAACCTCATTATTTCAAGCATGTTACTGAGTTGCATTATAATCCACTGAATTGCACAGCAGGTTTGCTGCCACTGGGGTATATAACATCTCAGAACATAGATTTTCATAATAAAGATGATGACTATGAAAAAGCTTATTGAAATCAGCCTAAGAACTCCTACAAAGATCTGACATCTATCATTGGAGTTTTAAGGGAGGAGGATACTGTTGCAAAAACATGTACTCGAAGAACAAAATAATTCCAGTAAATTATCAGAAAAAAACTCAACAGATCAGCACAAGAACAGTTACACCTTTTTTCCCTTTGACTTTTTCCATATCCCACCTTGTGCTTTGACTGTCGTTAACCCAAACCTGGGCTTTGGACTCACTTCAGAGGCTACATCCCAAGTTTGCCACCGTGCCAAAACACACCGTCACACCACCTTGCCACCATCTGCCTCCTTTGGACAGCCTCTGTGGCAGCTCCAGCTCATCTCTCTCTGTCCCAAAAAGGCAGGCTGCTGCCCATCACAGAGTAGGTGGCTGATGATGCCAGGAATAGGATGTTTGGCACCTGTACAGATCTGTTCTTAAACCACCTCTTTCTTCCAGCCATTTTAAAGGGAGAGGAAACAATTTTTATGTGATAAATTCACAGAAGTAGCTTGGTGCCTGGAAGTTAGCCCCTGCAGCATTCAGCACAGGGAAGCAGACTTAGCCCTGCTTGGCAAATTGTTTCACACTGCCAAAACTGGGTATTGCTGTGAAGTATTTCAACCCACTGGCAGGATTTGTGGCAGAATGGCAGAAAACATATATAACAGATTGTTGGTGAGGAGCAGGGGGAATCCACAAATTAAATTTGGGCTTGAGTTTGTGGGTGGAGTTAGACTGCTGAGTGCTGCTGGGGACAGATTTCTGCATGTAATTACTCTAAGGTGAGAATGGCCTCAGGATATTGCTTCTGTGAGAGTCACATCCACAAGTGTGGTTTGGTGTTAAAATCCATAATTCATCTCTTAATACCCTAATTTCAATTGCTTTTCCTTCTTAGCCCAGTCTGGATAGAGAAGCAAACACTGCTGGAATAAACTGATAAGCAGCCCAAGTGCATTATTTGCAATGATGCTTAGGACTTGCTGCTTACATTTCCCACAGCCAGACCTGCAGCACTTGGATAGTTTGCACGGGCACACTGTTTGGTGGCTGTCCTCAGGCATCGTTTCACTTACCAGGCAGAAATGACCTCAGGTGAAGTGAATTTTTAATTCTCTGGTTGGCAGTAGTCTAAACCAGAAAAATCCCAGTTGGGTCAACTAAGTGTGGTATTTAAAGCAAACTGAAGGATCTTATTGGCATCTCAACCTTCTATTAACCTAAAAAAATTTCAGTGGTGTTACTCAACTTAGGCTGCTGTAAAATTCAGGCCAAAACAGGACTGGAGGAGGTGGTAGTAATACACACTACAAACACCAGAGGGAGCTTGAAGGAAGATTCAGGATGAAGAGAGAAGACCAGTAAAATAACAAGATACATTTTATAGAGTATCTTTCCTCTAGAATCCTCTTGAAACCTGCTCGTTTTTCTCAAAAGCGATGCACAGCATGGCACCCACACTTCTGAGCCATCCGAAGCTATATCTCACTCCGAGCTGAAAATGGGTCTTGGTGCATCTAGTCCTAGCCCAAGGGGCCCACCTCTCAACTCAGGCTAAATCAGAATTAAATCTTGGGCAAGGCTATATGCTTAGAAAGTTATGGACAGCTACTGAGAAACTCTCTTTGCAGAAACAGCACGTTTTCTATTTCCAGTGTCCTTCGTGGGATGTTGTGCTACCAGCAAAAAATATCCCTGAGAAATTTTCTTACCCCTTTTCTCATCTTCTAAAGAGCATAATCCCAGAAAAACATCTTTACTGAACTACCTTGCAAAAGGGAGTTGGCAGGGGACTTCAGAGCCTAATTTACTTTATGTAACTTCAGGCGTATCTTGAACTCTTTTTTCCTTGTTACTCTGTTCATTCATCATGCCTGCTGGGCTAGTGCCTAAGCTGGTGTTTCTCAAGGTTTTGATTGCTGGATCACACTCTCCAGATAAAAATGGGTGGTATTTGACAAATAAATCTCCTCCAGATTCCCTGACCTTTCCCACCAAGGCTGGCAAGAGACTGTGTGAATAAGAGCTGGGCCTCTAACATAGCACAGCCTAGCTCACCCCCTCCCACCTGGCCATCGAGGTTGCTGAAGATGGATGGAAGGATGTCGTGGTTTAAGCCCAGCTGGCAAGTAAGCACCACACAGCTGCTTGCTCACTCTCCTCTGGTGGGATGGGGGACAGAATCAGAAGAGTAAAAGTGAGAAAACTCGTGGGTTGAGATAAAGACGGTTTAATAAGTAAAGCAAAAGCCACACACACAAGCAAAGCAGAACAAGGAATTCATTCCCCACTCCCCATGGGCAGGCAGGTGCTCAGCCAGCCCCAGGACAGCCGGGCTCTATCACGTGTAACGGTGACTTGGAAAGACAAACACCATCACTCTGAACATCCCTCTGCTTCCTCCTTCTGTAAAGTCATAAAAGCACGTTCCTGATGTTCTTGGGCTTTGGCCTAGTCCTTCAGTCCCAGATCAGGACTAACAGTTTCCAATCAGTACAAGTTAAAAACAAAGAATGGACTCCTGCCCTAAAAAGCCAAGTACAGGGGAACAACAGCATCAGGACACCAGCAGGCAGACAGGCTCAGAATAAGAATGAAAAAAAAAGCAGCACCTGACTGCGAGGAGGTGGTTGGGTTTTTTTAGGCACAGTGAAAAGTATTTCAGGATAAGGACAGCCAAATTGTTTGCTAATATTTATGGACTGTCTCATTTCTAAGGAAGAAAATGCAGATGAAGCACTTTTGAAAAAAATATGAAAAATTACAGAACTGGAAATTGCTTTCTGTAACATATTATTTTATAAGGACCTTTCTTTCTGCATGACATATGATAGCTATTTTGTAATTTTTCCCCTTAAGAAAACGGAAGTGTTTCAGCACCTTCTATATAATTTAATAGCAATTTATGTGCCTGCTATGGTAAGAGATAGGTTGGTTTTCCAGAAAAAATGAAAAATTCTACAGCTTTATCAAAGTTTTTGCCATGGGTCCTACTGACTTATGAATAGGACTGAGTTTCCATCCCCTATTAATTTTGACTGTGTTTTCCTCTGAAAAGAGTGTTTCTTTCTCTTCAGGACTGAATTATTTGAAAATCCTTACATGTTTTGTAATTAAGAACTGCATCCTTCAGTAATGATTGCTAATTATCTCGGAAAGCACAGTTTGCAGCCCAGGCAGGCAACACATAATTGCCGTTATGCTTCCAGGCTGGGGCACATCAAGGCAAGGATAGACTGTGGAAGAGCTGTGGGACCATTTGCCCGCTGTCATTATGTGGCAGGGAGCACCGGACTATGCTCTCATGACTTCCAGGAGCCTACACAGAGACCCTACTCTACCCTGGTCTCCCCACCACTTCTGTGCACGAGCAGTCCAGCTACATGGCATAAGCCAGCTGGAGGCAGTGAGTCCTTGGCACTGCTGAACTGCTGCTCATCTTTTGCACTGCCAGGGTTTTCTGGAGCCTGCCTGCCTGTTCCTGCATCCCTGGCAGCATGCCAGCTGGACAGCCCACTGAGCCCCCGCTCTCCTGGCTCCTCCAGCTACCTCTGCATCTGCCAGGCTGATCTGCTCAGAGCAATCTGGTAGCCTGTGACTTCCTGGATCCCTTTGCTCCTTTCCTATACTGATTTCCTGGGGAGTGCTAAAATCTAAAGCAAATCTAGGCAGAAATGCGTGCCTGACAGCCAGCCAGGTAATCGCAATTTAACCATGAAGACACCAAAGTATGAAGCA